CCTATCAAGATATGGCTCATTTCCATCATTCCAGAACATTCTTTCATGCTCCTTCTCTTTTCTGATTTCTATTACCATAGCTTAATCTTGCCTGTTCTTGAATTTCATATAAATGCAAGCACACGGCATGCAGTCTTTTGTGCTCAGCTTTTTTTTCACACGGCATATTGTGTTTAAGATCATCCAAGTTGTGTCTATCAGTAGTTTGCTCCTTTTTACTGCGGAGTAGTTTTCCATTGTATAGATGTACCCCAGTTTGTATATTCATTAACCTATAGATGGATGTTTGCATTGTTTCCAGTTTTTGGCTGCTCTGAATAATGCTGCTATGAACACTCATGTTCAAATTTTTCTTTTTTTTTGAGACGGAGTTTCACTCTTGTTGCCCAGGCTGGTATGCAGTGGCACAATCTCGGCTTACTGCAACTTCTGCTTCCCTGGTTCAAGATTCTTGTGTCTCCGTCTCCCGAGTAGCTGGGATCACAGGCGTGCGCCACCACGCCCAGATAATTTTGTATTTTTAGTAGAGATGGAGTTTCACCATGTTGGCCAGGCTGGTCTCAAACTCCTGACCTCAGGTGATCTGCCCACCTCGGCCTCCCAAAGTGCTGGTACAGGCGTGAGCCACCACACCTGGTCTCATGTTCAAATCTTTTTGTGAACAAATGCTTTCCTCTCTCTTGCAGGAGTGGGATAGGTGGGTCTTATGGTAAGTGCATGTATAACTTTGTAAGAAACTGTCAAACTGTTCTCCAAAGTGGCTGGACTATTTTACACACCTCCAGCAACAGACGACAGTTCCACTCGCTTGTCATTCCCGTTAATACTTGGCATTTTTTTTTTTTTATTATTTTAGTCATTCTAGTCAATGTAAAGTGGTATCTCATTGTGGTTTTAACCTTGGACCTATCTTTAGTCCTAGGAAAAGTATTGTTAATTTGAACAGTGTTGAGAATGGCTCCATGCCTATGTACTTGTAACCTGGCATTTGAAATGTCAGCAGAGAAAAGCTGATCTGGAATTCCAATGAACACTATTGGCTGATTCTTGAAAACACCAATGGGGGTCCTGCCGTATAACCTGTGACACCAATTCCTTTCAGTTTCTTCCTCATCAGCCCTTGTTTTGCATGAAGTTGCTGAAGGAGAGTGAGGTCCACAATCTGCCTGAAACCAGGACAACTCTTCCCCAGGTGGTATGTCCTACCAGGTAGGTATTAGATTAAGTGGTCCATGCCCCATTGAGGAAATGTGCTGGGCCAGTCCCCTGCCCTCTCAGAGGGACTTCACCAAAAGGGTCTAAGTGAACACTGTTCATACGCAGGAACAGGCTGAGGTCCTGGCCAGAGGTGCAGAGGTTCTTTGTGTGACGTCCATAAATTGACTTCATAGGCATCTGTAAACCCTCTGAAGTTGCATGCACACCTTTGCATGCACATGATTTCTTTCTTTCTTTCTTTCTTTCTTTTTTTTTTTTCTGTGAAAGAGTTCATTGCCTTTATTGGGTTATCAAAAACAGAGATTGCTAATTATCCCCAAACCTCCATTTCCCCCCCTTTCTTCTCAGTAATAGAACCTCTGAATTCTTTCTGGACACATAACCCATGTGAAATAAAGACTAAAAGTTTTAGCCTTCTTTGCAGGCTGGAAGTAACCTTGTGATGAACTGCTGGCTAAGGGAATATGAATAGACATGGTACGTGCAAGTTCCGGGAAGTGTTTGTAAAAAGAAAGAGATCTTTTTTCTTCCTACTGGCTGGAGTGCAGATGTGATGGCTGGAGCTTGAGTAGCCATCTTAGACCATGAAGTGGCAAAGAGGTAAGAGGGAGGAAGTCTGGATCTCACATGAAGATGGAATCGTCTTATCAACTTTGGAGTGTTTCCATAGACTATATCTGTGTGAGAGGAACATACATTTTTCTCTTGTTTAAGCTGCTACTATCTTGGGTTGTTTGGTAGGCAGCCTCTAAGATAGATCTCAATGATTCTCCCTCCTGGTATTTATACCCTTGTATAGGCCCCTCCCACATTGTGCCAGGGTTGGCTTGTATGACCAGTAACAAGCATATATCAGAAGTGATGGTGTGTCACTTCTGAGGTTAGGTTATACAAAGACTGCTGCTTCTGTCTTGGGTTTGCTTTCTCTCTCTCATGGATCACTGGTTCCAGGGAAGTTATGTCATGAGCAGCACTATGAAGAGGTGCATATAGCAAGGAACTGACGCCTCCTGCCAACAGCCACATCAGTGAACTTGGAAGTGGATCCTTTAGCCCTGGTGGAGTCTTCAGAGACCGCAGCCCCAGACAACGCCTTGATTGCAGCCTTGTGTGAATAACTTGGAGCCAGAACCACCAGCTAAGCTGATCCCACATTCCTGCCCCTCAGAAACTGTGTGAGATGATCAAAGTAGGCTGTGGAAGTTGTGGAGTTTTGGAGCAATTTTCTACCTAGAAATGTACCAAGTTAAGTAAGATCTAGGCGGCTCTATTCCTGGGTTCCAGCCCCAAACCTCCAGACATGTGCTCCTTGGCGCTGGTCAGACCACATCACCAACTTGAACTTCAGTGTCCTCATCTGTAAAGTGAGACAGTTGCTCTCCCTACTGCTGGGCTTTTTCCAGCTTAAAGAGTCTCAAATTGTGGAGATAGGGAAGGCAGCAGAGAGGTAGGAGGGGCAGACACCCAGAGTGCTTTTCTGTGGCAGGTGTAAAACTATTTTGATACTTTGATGAGCTTTGTTGGGTTTTCTCTGGTCTGGGAAGGTTCACGAGGCTTAGTGAGGATTGAATTGCTCTGCCTAATTAGAAAGACTTTTCCAGAGGTTGGCCTGCAAGTGGGGAAGGAAAGGGGCAGGGAGAGAAGGGGGACCAAAGGAGAAAACCCCATGAACATGGTCGTGAACTGGGGTCAGTGAGAAATTCCCCAATTTCTCACTGGATCTGCTGAGGAATTTTTAAAATAATGACGTGTCATGTCAATTTTTACTTATTATGTGCTGTAATCTTTTTTTTTTTTTAAGACAGTCTCACTCTGTCACCCATGTCGGAGTGCAGTGGCATGATCTCAGCTCACTGCAACCTCCACCTCCTGGGTTCAAGCAATTCTGGTTCCTCAGCCTCCCTGGTAGCTGGGATTACAGGCATGTACTACCACGCCCAGTTAATCTTTTTGTATTTTTAGTAGAGACGGGGTTTCACCATGTTGGCCAGGCTGGTCTCGAACTCCTGACCTCATGTGATCTGCCTGTCTCAGCCTCCCAAAGTCCTGGGATTACAGGCGTGAGCCACTGCACCTGCCCTGTAATTGATTTCCGTTATTGTAAACTCACGCACACATACACATACACGCGTGCATGCATACTACCGTGCCTCATTATCCTGGAGGCATAGGATAGGGTAGAATTATTATTATTATTATTTTTTGAGATGGAGTCTCGCTCTGTTGACCAGGCTGGAGTGCAGTGGTGAGAGCTTGGCTCAATGCAAACTCTGCCTCCTGGGTTCAAAGGATTCTCCTGCCTCAGCCTCCCAAGTAGTTGGGATTATAGGCACGTGCCACCACACCCAGATAATTTTTGTATTTTTAGTAGAGACAAGGTTTTGCCATGTTGGCCAGGTCTCGAACTCCTGACCTCAATCGGCCGTCCTCAGCTTCCCAAAGTGCTGGGATTAGAGGCATGAGCCACTGCGCCTGGCCAACATAGGGTAGATTTTAACGGCAGAGAAATTGCATCTGACAGGCCTGGCTTTGAATCTAGGCTCTACTGCCTCTTGCCATCTGGGTGACGTTGAATCTATCATTTCCCCTCTCTAAGCCTCAGTTTGACCTTATACAATGACGCTAAAATAAAGTAACCTTTGTTGAAGTTGCCGAGGGGAGGAAATCAGATTCCACTGTCGTGGTCCTCCACCAGATTGAGCTCCTTGTTAGAGCTCAGGGGCTGCAGGCCTCTGTTTGAAAGTGCTGGTGGTTTGCGTTCCTTTGTTTCTTCTCACTGCAGGCCAATCACGCTTCTGAAAAGGGTAAACAAAAACCTCCTCTTCCTGCTGGGTGTCCACCTTCCCATCTCTCCCCCAGCCATAAGGAAAGATTGCACTGTGTAACACCATCCCTGAGGGGCCTGGGAGCCCAGGCCACCCTGGGAGGGTGGCTTCTGGTGAAAACACAAGGCCCAGGCTGGTGGCTTAGGGGCTGAGGCCTGTCCCTCAGAGGCAGAGCTCTCAGCAAGGCTGCCACCTTCTTGATGCTCTGTTTGTTTTACTAGGTGCAGAAAACCCCAACCAAGCCACCCAAACCCAGTGAGTAACAGTGACCAGGACTTGGCCTGGGCAGGGGTGGGGTGGGTCAGCTGGGCTTGGAGTGACCACAGCTGCCTCACTCTGGAGAGGCACCACTACCTGGAAGGACAACAATAATGCTCTTTACCACCCTGCCGGTCATCCCTGCCTCCTGGCACTCAAGCTGTCTATGGGCATTACCTCTTGGAGGCCATCACTTACCCTTTGGATCAAGCAGCACCATTCCAGGTGGAGTGAGGAGAAACAAAGGCAGCCAATGCAACAGAAGTTGCCAAGAAGGGAGGACCCAGAGAGAAGCTGCCATATGCCTGTGAGCCAAACATCTGTCACCTCAGCCAATGCCTAGATGCTGTAAATGCTAAACCTAGGATCTTGCTTCTTTGATCTGCTCCTTCAGTGTCTCTCCAAAAGGGTCTTAGGATCTTGACCTCAGCCCAGCTGAGGCTGACTCCTCCTTCCTGGACCCTGGGATGGTGGTGTGTTGAGGGCAGGCAGGCACTGGTTGGCTGTCCACTCTGGGCTGCCACACACCTTGCTGGCACCTGCCTGGCGCTGCAAGGGGCCTGGCCCAAGCCTCACCTTTGCAGGACAGGACCTCGATTCCCTGTTCCACTCCCACTCCCATTCTGTGAACTTTTATCACATTAATCAAACTCTCAAAGCAGCTAAGTAATAGACTTCACCACATTCACTTGAGAGTAATAGAGTCCAAAATGCCAATGTTTTAATTACCTGCAGGAGCTCTGTATTAGTCTACTTTGGCTGCCATAAGAAAATACCACTTACTGGGGGGCTTAAGCAACAGAAATTTTATTTTCTCACAGTTCTGGAGACTAGAAGTCCAAGATCAAAGTCTCTGCAGGGTTGGTTTCTTCGGAGGCCTCTTTCCTTGGCTTGTAGATGATTGCCTTCCCACTGTGTACTGACACACTCTTTCCTTTGTGCACACACACCTTCGTGTCTCTCTGTGTCTAAGTTCCCTCTTCTTATGAGGACAACAGTCAGATTGGATTAAGCCCACCCTAATAGCTTTATTTTAACTCGATTACCTCTGTAAAGGCCCTATCTCCAAATAAGGTCACATTCTGAGGTCCTGGGTGTTGAGACTTTAACATATGAATTTGAGGGGAACAGTTCAGTCCATAAGTTCAGTCTGGAGTGAGTAATGGATTGACCTTGGGCACAGAACTTCCTAATGGGCAGACAGACCTACCCAAGAACCTGGGCCCTGGGTCCAAAGATTGCTTGGCTCTGGCCATTTAAAGAGGGACCACAGAAACTTTGAGGCTTCTTCTATGGAGAAGTGGGATCAGTTACCCCTTCCCTGAGTCTGGGCTGGGCCCCAGGTGTTTTGACTAATGGAGGATGGCAGAAGTGATGCCACGCCAGTGTCAGGCTTAGACTTTTCAAAGGCTCCTGCCTTGGTCCCTTGGAGCTCCAAGTCACCATGTGAGAAACTGGACCACACTGCTGGAGAGACCCCGTGGAAGGGTCACAATGCTACATGGAAAGGGAGAGAAGCTCTGCTGAGCCAGCCCTCCAGCCTCTCTTGCCAAGGCACCTGGCACAGGAGTGGGGCCATCTTGGATCCTCCAGACCAGAGCAGTTATTAGATGAATATCATCAAGTGACCCCATTCAATGCCATGTGTTGCTGAAGAATCACCCAACTGAGCCCTGCCCTAATTCCTGACCCCCATCATCATGAAAGATAATAAAATGGCTGTTGTTTTAAGCCACTAGGTTTTAGGGTCCTCTGTGATGCAGTAAGGGTTCACTGGAGGGTTTAGTAACTATGGAAGTGATATAACAGGAGTTGGATGATGTTGAGGGATATTCTTGCCAGGCTGAGGAAGAAAGACTGGTGAGTCACTGTCCCCTCCACAGTGAGAGCATGGCTGAGTAGGCTGGGCTCTCTGCTACCTTCCCATCTGGGGTTAAGAGAGCAGGCAATCTCTTTCTTCCCAAGCTCTGTCTTCAGGAATCTGAGAAAGCCCTGGACTGGGCACTGTTGTCGTTCCAGAGGCCGTGAAAGATCAGGAAAAGGTAGAGAAGAGGAACTGCCATTTCTTAGCACCTCCAATGAGCTTCTGAGTTCCTCATGGGTGAGATTCCCTTTAATTTGCCCCGCTTTCCTGCCAGGAGGCCCAGCTCCAGCCAAGATCCCAAACAACAGATAGTGAGAGCCTCTGCACATGACAGGGGGCCTTTGGGTGCTTCCCACCGAGACTCTCAGCTGCCCCAGCTGGCACTGAGTGGAGGAGAAAGGAGCTGTCTCCATCATGCCCTGTTGAAATTGCAGGTTGGTGAACAAAATAAATGTCATTGTTTTAAGCCATGAAGTTTTGGGTGGTTTTTAAAAATGCAGCAATAGGTAACTGGAACTGGGAGACAGGTGAAAGAAAAAAAAATGTAACACCACCATGTGGTACTTTTTCAATAAAGGTGTATACATGCCACACATGGGCTTAAGGACAGGAGAGTACATGTTAATCTCTGTGTGTGTGTGTGTGTGTGTGTATGTGTGTACATGTGCATGTGTGTGACATAGGGTGGGTGGAGTGTTCATCAGACAAAGTGCCATGGGAGAGATGGGGCTGAAAGCTGATATTTCCAGGCAGGCAAAATGGGGTATGCAAGGGTGCTCACTAAAGGAAGAGCCAGTGCAGTCACAGAGCTGCAGAGTCACAGAGCCACAAGGTCACAGAGCTGCAAGGTCACAGAGGTGGGTAGAAGCCCAGGGTTGAAGCCCAAGAGGGAGCTGGCTTTTACCTGCCCACTGCAGTGCAGGTTTCAGCTCTCATTTACACATTATTTTCTCCCAGTTGCATCTGAGGCTGGTGGATGCCAGCCAGAGAGGGCCCTAGGTCGCATCAGGGAACCATCTGCAAATCTGTGCAGAGGGCGATGGCGTGGGGGTGGCTTTCTTGTGGGGAGTGAGTCCCAGGCAGGCTCTGTAGCTCCTCAACAGTATGGGGTGGGGATAGAGGCTCCTCCCCTCCCCAACTCCAGGGCCTGTCCTCCCTCACTCTCTGGGTCCTTCATCTGAATGTCAGCTGACTTGAGGCCATTGGTTCCTGAACGCTGGGGGCTGCTGAGCCTTGCACTATCCCTGATGCAAGGGGAGGTGATCAATGCCCTTGTGTGATGGCTTGGAAGTCTGGGAATGAGATCAAGCCAGGATTCGGGAATAGGGAGAGATCTCTGGGGACCTGGCTATTCTAGTGAGACAAGCACTGCCCCTCCTCAGAAGCCATTCCCAAAGCCCTCATCTCTCCAGCTTCTTCTCTGTCAAGTCTACTGAATGAGCGTGGAAGGGTCTTGCAGCTCTCAAAGGCCTGTGTAAATGGAGCAATGTCTGCGTGCATCTGCTCTGCGCGGGCCCTGGGCTAAGATCTCCACACATCTCTGCTCATTTACTCCTCCTGGCAGCCCTGGGAGGAAGGTGCTATACTGCTGCTCTCTGCATTTTATTGGAGAGGAAACTGAAGCTTAGAAAGGGCACGGAAGTTGTGCAACGCCACCTGATGACCACTGCAGGTCTGCTCGACCCAGAGTGCTGTGCTCTCCAGCACTCACCAGTGCTACTGCAAAGACCAAAGAGATGCCATTACTCCTTTAGTCTGGCCTGGTGGTTAAAGGCATAGACTCTGGAGTCAGGCCACTAGGGACAAATCTTGGTTCCACCTGTGTGACCTTGGGCAAGTTACTCAACGTCTCTGTGCCTCAGTTTCCTCATCTGTCAAATAGGGCTAGCACTAGCACCTGCCTCAGAGCTGTGATGAGGAGGAAATGAGTGAATGCATGTCAACCACTTAGTACAGTACCTGGGGTGAGGTTGATGCTAGATGTGTTAGCTACTGTGAATTTCCCTCAATGCGCTTCTCTCATGTTACTAAGTACAAACGCCACTTAGCCTCTATATCTGATTGCATCATGGGTGGTGGCAACTATATCTGTCTCCCCAATTAGACTGTGAGCTCCCAGAGGGCAGGAGCAAGAATAACTTAGAGGTGCATCATAGAGACCTCCATTTCCTCCTCGCTCTGCTCCCATCCTCCTCATCCTCCCCATTTAGTAGGAGGTGTCTCTGCCTTTGTGGATTGACAGAGAAAAGAATTAATGATCGCTCCTTTAAAGCCAGGGAAGAGAGAGTCAGGCAGAAAGGACAGTGGGTGGGGGCGCTGAGGGCTGGGGGGCTGGTCTCGGACTCCCAGGGGCCCTCCCCGGGAACTGGAGCTCCTTGCGTAGCCCGGGCCTGCCCTGGGCCCTGCGGCCTCTGCCGGTTCCCAGAACCCCGACAAGCATCTCCTTGTCTTCCCGGGACTCTTGGTTCTGGGCACCTTGTCCTGCCCTGTTCCCTGCAGCTCTGCACACAGCGCTTGGCAAGAGTGGCCTGGGCACTGGAGAAAGGCTTGCGGAATCGTGCTGCATTCTAATGACGAAGCGTCTCCTCACAGTGCCGCCTCTCTACTCTGGGCCTCAGCTCCTTTTGCTGTCAGCTCTCCCAGCTTGTCACCAGACTTGCAGCAAGGCTCTTGGGCCAAGAGGCTGCAAGAAAAATTCAGGGTGGTCACAAGCCGGGCCTCCCTCTAGGTGGGAAGGGGCGGGGGTCTGTGTTTGAGCCCTGCCTGGGCCTCTCAGGGCACTGTGGGTGGACAGATCACCTCACGCCCCTGCTGGCCCCACGTATGTCCAAGCCGGGGAGGGGAGAGGAATGCAGAGCCAAGCCGTGGCAGGGCTGGAGGGGCCCCAAATACCAACATCCCTTGGAGGAATACAGAGGTCCACTGCCTACCTGGTTCTGCGCCAGGGCCTGAGGCGACTTCTCTCCCATCCATCATTGCCCTGATGTCTAATCTGTGCCGGTCTGTCCTCTTGCCCTGTCTGCCAGCCCCGGGGAACATTTGGGACCCTCAGGGCCTAGCCACATGATAGGTCCAAGTGGGACGGGCTCTGCGTCAGGGCTGGAAGTATGTACTGAGCTCAGCCCACAGGGAGGCCCACTGCCTGCTGTGGACTCTGGTGGCCATCTCTCCCCATCGTCACTGTTAGGGAGATTTGACTGGTCACCCCTGGCCTGGGTTTCTTCTCCATGCCACTGCCCCACCTCAGTAATTCCCCTGGAGACTTCTAGAGCTTCCAAGTTGAAAGGGACCTGAGAGCTCGCTTTGTCTAAATCTCTGCCTCTAGCTGCCTCGCTCAAAGCCTTCTACTCTGCTGCCAGGGTTACCTTTCACAACCAACCCTCGATCCCTCTACAATCTTCCATGCCTCACCATTGCCCTCAGGAGTAAGTTTGAACCCCTTAGCTGAGCCCCCGAAAGCCTGCTATGATGGATCCCTGCAACCTTTCCAGGCCTCATCTAGTGCCCCCACCCTGTTATCCCATATTCCAGCCACATACAGCAGTTGGCAGCCCCCTCGTGGGTGAGACTGTGGTCTTGTGTTTTTTTTCTTTCCTGTTTCCTTTCCATCTCCCTTCCCTCCCCTATTTCCTTATTAACCTGGGCCACCTCTTCTATGCAGCCTTCCCTGATTATCCCTCCATACACTCAACACATCACCTGCTCCCCGGTGCTCTGTGGTGGGCTGAGTAGACCTCAATTGCAGCACCTGGAACAGGGCGTATTGCCCTGGATTCTCCTTCAGGCTGCTTCTCCTCCCAGGCTGGAAGCTCTTGGAAGGCGGGGCAGGCACATCTTTCCTGATTTTCCTTCTCCAGAACCTACCAGGGTATTTTAGGTAAGAATTCTCCAGGGCAGGGTGCGGTAGCTAACGACTGTGATCCCAGCACTATGGGAGGCCAAGACGGGTGGATCACTTGAGGTCAGGAGTTGGAGACCAGCCTAGTCAACATGGTGAAACCCCGTCTCTACTAAAAATACAAAAATTAACTGGGCGTGGTGGCACACACCTGTAATCCCAGTTACTCGGGAGGCTGAGGCAGGAGAATGACTTGAACCCGTGAGGTGTAGGTTGCAGTGAGCCAAGATCGTGCCACTGCACTCCAACCTGGGCAACAAGAGCGAAACTCCTACTCAAAAAAAAAAAAAAAAAAAAGAAAGAAAGAAAGAAAAGAATTCTCTAGAAGCAGAGCCTGAGGGGGAAGTCCCGTGTGAGTGCTTTATGGAGCAAGTCCTTGCAGGAGAAACCAGCAAGGGAGTGAGGGCAGCAGCGAGGCAGGGAAGAGGTGAAGCAAGGAGGGAGACTCAGGGGAAGCCTGGCCTCAGCCTGATCCCAGCTCAGGGGTGGGGGCCATGGAGGGCCCAGGGCAGCAGAAAGCACGGAAGAGTCAGAGAGTGAGAGGGCAAGAGAGGAAAGTAAGGCAGCAGGAGGGCGAGCGGGAGAGAGTACGCCGAGACAGTGAGAGAGTGGTGGGGTGATAGACAGGGGGCATGAAAGAGGGCACAGAGTGGGGAACAGAGCCCCAGGGAGAAGGTGAGAGTAAGCAAAAGCCAGCAAGTGAAGGAGGACAGGAGGAGGAGGACAGAGAATCCAGGGAAATGAGGGGATGGGAAACACACTTCTGGAGTGTGGGCACAAGAGAGGGAAAGCATGAGAAAATGAGGGAAAAATATGAGAGAGAGAGAGAGAGAGAGAGAAACAGAAAGGATGAGTGAGCGCAGTGCGAGCCTTGCACTCCAGTCCCCAGGGTCCCGGGCTGTCCCAGGCTCTCTGGGCAGCTCAGGAGTCTGGCCGGGCTGCGGGCTTTCCCTGGGGCCCACGTGGGTGAGATATTGAGCAAGGCCTCCCTGGCGGGCTCTCTCTGTGGTGCCCCTGGCAAGTTTCCCTGAGGCACTCCTGTTCCAGGGGACTCCCGGGGCCACCCGCCTGGGCCAGAGGAGAGCGGAACTGGGTAATCGACTCACCGTGGACATTTCTGTGCAGGCTCATTCTCTAATTCCACAGCTCCTCAAGGAGGGGGCAGCCCTGTTAGTATTTCCATGTCACCACAGAGGAATCCGAGGCCCGGAGAGACCTGACAGGGCTCAGAGGTGAGTCACTGAGAGAGAATTCATGTCCCTGGATTCCCTTTCCTCTAGGAGAAGAGATACAACTCCGAATGGGGCATCCAGTGCCCCGGTGCTGCCTCTGCCACAGCACATGTCCGAATGCAAACACCCAGGGCCAGGCAGGGGGCTAGAGAAGGGTGCCCTTGTCCTCCAGACCCTTGAGAGGCCTTGCTGAGCTCCCACTGGAGGCCAAGCCCTCCTTTTCACCTGCTTAGACTTGGTCAGAGTGGGGAGGGTAGGCACAGGGCATGGCGGGTGGTGGAAAGGGATCAGCACCAGGCTCTGGGTGACCTCTGTTCCAGTCCCAGCTCTGCCGCCAAACAACATGTGACCTCGAACAAGACACTTAATTTCTCAGAGCCTCCATTTCCTAATGAGTAAAACACTGACAAGACTTGCCTTGCCCACTACCTTACAAGCTCATTGTCAGGGCTCATTAAGATAATACAAGTTAATATCTAGTACCATTTCATGGAGGTCTCCCGGAGGCCCTTAGTAAATTCTGTGTTAGCTTCCTATGGCTGCCTATAACAAATGACCACAATTTGGTGGCTTAAAACAATAGGAATGTATTCTCTTATGGTTCTGGAAACTAGAAGCCTGAAGTCAGTTTCACTGGGCCATACTTTCTCATGAGAATCCAGTAGAAAATCTGCCCCTTGCCTCTTTTGGCTTCTGGTGGCTGCTGGCCTTCCTTGGCTTGTGGCTGCCTCACTAATCACTGCAAACGTCAAGGCCAACATCTTCACATCTCACTCTGTTCCACGTTCACGTGGTCTTCTCCTCTTCCATTTGATTGATGCAGGCACCAGGCTCAGGGAAGTTACCCCACGGACCAAGGTCATCGCCAGCGAGAGAGTTGGAATTCGAACTGAGGCCTCAGAAATTTAAACCTGTGTTCTCTGTTCCAGCTCGGCCAGCGCCTGCCTCCTGGGGCCTCTGTGGCCTCTTTTGGGGAGCCCTCTGGAGCCAGCCTGTGGCTGCCCCTGGCTCATGTCCAGCCAATGAATCGAGGACTTGAGGCTCAGGCTGGACTGTGGTGTCTAAATAAAGGGTGTCCTTGAGATTAGAGCAGAGGTCAGGAGAGGACACCGGCTGCAGATGACCAGCCCAACGAGGTGGCCTCAGTGGCCCATCAGAAGGCTGGGGGAGGGCTGGCCTCACTTGCAGCGAGCTCTACCCTCCAGCGCTCTGCCAGCCGGGCAATCTAGGATCTCAAGACTGAGGTCAGGCTGGGGTCAATGCCGACATAAAAACCAGTTGACTCAAGCAAGACCACCTACATATTTAAACAGATCTTTGAGAACGAAGGGGTTGTGTCATCACTTGGGGATGGAGAGACAGAATGGACCTCAGACTGGGGACTAGAACTTTCTTTGCTTCAAGAAATTTGTCCTTTTAAGAGGCTGATGCTTGAGAGGGCCCTTTCTACCTTCTCCTTCTTGTCTTGTTGAAAGAAATGGCAAAGTCTGTCCAGTTTAGTTCTGGAGACAAGGTAAAACAAGCCTGTGTGTGTGTGTGCGCGCACGTGTGCATGTGCACATGTGTTGAGCGCAAAGAGATAGAGCCATTTAATTTTTTTAAAAAAAAGCCAGATGAACCGGCAGAACCTGACACTGCTTACTCTATTCCACATTTTATCCGCAGAATAACAGCCAGAACAAGAAATCCAGGAACATGGGAAATACGGCCGTGGCTGAAGTCTTATCTGGGTTAAAAACCCCAGGAGTGCTCCTCTTTAATTTTTTGGCAGAGCAGGATCAAGGAATCGATTCACTCTGGTTATGCTTCCTACCATTGTTTCTGTGGGCCGTGTTTGATCTGTGTTTCACGTGCAGATCTGCTATTCACGCTCTGAAAGAAATAATATATTCTGCATTGCACCAGGTCAGGCTCAACCATGAAAACCCTTTTTTGGATGATTTCAAAGCCACACATATGCTCTTGAGCGTGCACACACACACACACACACACACACACACACAGACACACCAGCGTGCGCATGTTCACACACATACTGTTTGTGTAAAGGATTAAAAAAGAATGAAAGGCCCAGTTGCAGAACATGACCAGGGTTCCAGACGTGGAGTGGCCAAGGCTGTGGCCCTCACCCGCTGACCTGGGCCAGCCATGTCCCCTCTGAGTCATGTGCATGCCCCACCCCTGTGGGCAGGGGGCATCCGGACCCTTTGATGGTGCGCCTGTTGAGGTTATTTTTAGTAACAATGGTTTCCAGTGAAAGAGAGCAATTTTCACAATGGAGAAGTCTTCCCCTTCCTTCAGGTCAAAAGCTGAACGGAGACGAAAATGACATTAACCGGTGCAGGATCCTGAAAAGATGAAATGCTCAACACCTCCCAGCTCTAAATCGGACTGGGCGTTTACTAGCATTTTAAGGGCCAGAGGGAAGTTGAAGCAACTGCCGGGGTAACACACACGTGAAAAATGTGAGGCCAGACAGTCCGGGCAAATAAATAACCCTGTGCTGGCAATAAGAGACGTGCCTGGAGTTTTAGCGTGGGGTTGTAAAAGTTGACAGGAGCCATTTGGACTGAAAACGGCCGTGTGGGTAACGCTGCCAGGTTTTGCCAAGCGCCCGGCTGTTGAATACTACAAAACTGAATAGATAAAAAAGAAAACAACAGCCACAAAAGAGAAAAAAAATCGCAACACGAAACCACCCACGCAGTGTCCACCCACCCCTTCCCCTCACGCTTGGTGCCCTCTCCCTTTGTTTAGATAAGGTGTCCACTGCTGCTGCTGCTGTTGGCCACCAGCCAGCTTTCTGTCTCCAAATTTGAGGCTTCAGCGGCACACAGGAGACACAGCTCTCTGATGCTGCTGGCCCGGGTGTCAGCCGCACCCTGAGGGTCCCTGTGGCTTTGTGTTCCCAGAATGATGATTTGTTTGACAATAGGCTTTCCTTCCAGACTGTTCTTCCAGCCTGGCACAGTGTGTGAGTCCTCGGAGACAGGACAGGGCTGTGGAGCGCCAGAGCAGGCACCTCCGGCCACGGGGTCGGGCCACTGTCTAATTATGATGGCCACATAAAAGAAATCCAGACACAGTCAAAGGCCAAGGAGTGTCTTTGGTTTCATGGACTAACTGAAGTGTTTAAGCTCATCAGGCCTGAAAAAGTTAAGTGCAGGGGGAGCAGGACGGACAAGACTGGACTTATTCTATGGCACACAAAAGATTCTCAATAAGCTCAGAGAAGGGTCCCCCACCGCCGCCGCCACTGATGTCTTTCTCTCCCTGCTTCATTCCAAAGCTCCTGTGTTAGGCAAAGAGACGGCTCCGACAAGCTACCCGGGAGGTCAGTGAGGAGGCTGTGGGTGAGCTGGTCTCAGGGCAGCTCCCACGAGGTTGAGCAGGGCTGTCCTGGTGAGTGACAGATCAGGGCAATGCATGGTGGTCTCCAGGCATCCCTGAGCAGCCGGGCCAATGTGGTGCTCAGGAGAAGCAGGATGCAACACCCATCCTGGTCTCTGTTCAGGCTTTCTCTGAGAATTCAGAACTTTTGAAACAGTTTGATGATTAGCGTTCACCCTCCTGAAAGCAGGAGGGAAAGGCCAGAGGGACTGATTCTCTAAGTGGCACTGGAATCAGTTTAGAGGGGCTTTCCATAAGGAACTGTAGAGCTGCAGGGCTTAGGAAAATGAGAACCTTGTCTGTTGGTGAGTCCATCCTCCTTGATCTCCCAAACGCTTTCTCCTCCCTTCTCAGTTATGGGGGCACCTGGGGAGAGCTGGGATAGCCTGGTTCACCCAGGACGTCAGAGGTACAGTCTCAGGACGTGAAGAAAGGCTCTGGCCTGGCCTGTCATATCGTGGCCAGTTTGATAGATTGTGTTAAAGGCAGGAGTGGTCACCAGGGAGTCAAGAGGTCTAAAGTGGACATTGGCAGGGCTTGATCCACCCAGGGCAGAGATGTTGGTTGTGACTTCTGCTTCTTCTTTCCGTGACACACGTGCAACACTCAACTCCCATCACAGACTCAGTTTCCCAGGAACCTTAAAGAGGATGGTGCAGAGATGGTCACGAGCTTTCCTGCCCTGGGAAAGGAATGCGCTCCATTGCCAATAGCTGTATTGGGCATCCGATTTATCCAACAATCTTCTGAGTTTGGTGACTGTGAGTCAGGTTTGGCAGGCAGGCCTGTGGCAAGTATGCTGACCAAATCCTGTTTCTGAGTCAGTTCCCGATTGTGGTGGTTTGCCAGGATACCCTCCCCTGGCTATTGTCTCAGAGCAGGACTCCCCTCTGTCACTTTAGCGAGTCTTGTTTGCAAGGTCACTTTTATTTCCGGTCAGCCCTACCCGCTGCCGTGGTTTTTAACTGGTGCCCCAGGCACTTGGGCAGCATGGGTGGAATGGGGTGGAGTACACTTACAGTGGAGGAAAAGCAAAGGAGAAGAGGGGAAGGGGGAGATGTAAGCCTCATCCACGTTGGTCATGGTCTGGCAGTTGCTCTTTCCGACTTGGAGTCCTGGGGGGATCTCCTCTGGAGGATTATGTAATAGGGGAATTGAGATGGGAGAGAGGTCAAAAGCTCCCATCAAGCCCCTGAATTGTAGCCTGTTTCTTAAATTATACAAAATAGATGCTTTAAATCCAAAAGAAACAAAGAAAAAACTATGAGTTACGACAGCTTGCTTATCCAGAAATTACTTGATTTAGCAATCCCAAGTATCTGGAACAATCAAGAAGAACCAAAATATGTGAGGAATTCCCTGTTCTAAGTAGTCATCATAGCACAAATGCTCGATCCTTTTTCATCAGAACCTCTTTACTCTTATTTCACACACTATTCTAACGAACTAGATGACTCCAAAATTCCTTCAACACTCCCTTTCATTTTTGTTTCTGTTTTGACTCCCATGACTAAAATCAGGAATACAAGAGAAAGAGGAACAAGTTGGAAGGATAATTAAATGAGTTCAGGTTTGTACACAGACTGAGAGGACTCTGGGCTACTAAATGCAGGAGGAAGGGGTTATTATTTTGTTTTTGTTTTCCTTTCTTTTTGTAGAGACAGGGTCTTACTCTGTTGCCCAGGCTGGAGTGCAGTAGCTCACTACCGCCTTGAACTCTTGGGTTCAAGTGATCCTTCTGCCTTGGCCAGGAAGGGATCATGGTCAACACTAGAGCAAAACAAGAGATGGGAACAAACTATTTAATAGAAACCAGAACTCAAAGAGGATAGCCAGGTGGGGCCATTCAGTGAAGGACCAAAGACACAGAAGGGTTCTTTG